TTTTTTTTCACAGAGCAAACATCAACTTTAGTGTCAAGGACCATTGATTGCAATGAAAGGCTACGACAGTTTCCAAGCCAGATGATGGTGCATTGTGAGGAGCAAGCTTGTCATTTCTTTCCTTCAAGCAGTTTGTGAATCGTGAATTCAACCCTCACTGAAAGTAGTCATTTTCTGGCTTTGTGAGTTGTCATTCTCTCACATTGTTCTGGATGAATTTTGACTCTTCTTTACAAAGTTGCTTCAGTTCATTGGTTTGTTTACAGCTCTCCTATCATCCACAATGGAATTTCAATCAAGTTGAGGTCTAGATTTTGACTGGGCCATTACAACACCTTGATTCTTTTTTTTGTGGATTTTTTCAGACTTAATAATGTGCTTGGAATGGCGGCCCTTTGGCCAAGCTTTAGTTGTCAGACAGATGGCCTTAAAGAGCAGTGATTTTGCTTGGTGATTGCAAAGCAAACCCAAATCACCCCTCCACCATGGTACTTGACAGCTGATTGTAGTCAAAACTAGTGTTGTGCATTATGGCCAAACATCTCTACTTTGATCTCATCTATTTAAAGGACATTATTCCAGAAGTATTCAGGTTTATTCAGATGCAGCTTTGCAAACCTAAGCTGTGTCATATTGTTTTTACAGAGAGGAAGGTTTTTTTCAGTTTGGTAACCTTTACAAATTAGCCATACTTGCTCAGTCTTTTTTCTAATTGATCTAATTAACATGCTAAGTAAAGCCTGTAGAGTCTTTGGCTTTTTCAAAATTCAAAAGCATCTGGCTGCTGCTTATTTCTTTAATTCCTATGGAAGCAGTAAGGGTATACTTAGTATTTCCCAGTCCTGTGAATACGTTCTTTTTCACGACTGTCATTCATTTTCAGCGATCAGAATGATGATTATTTTATTGCTCTGTCACTGTCTGTGCTTTAGGTGATATACTGGTGATGGATGATTATGGCTACATGTATTTCATGGACCGCAGCGGCGACACTTTTCGCTGGCGAGGGGAGAACGTTTCCACGACAGAGGTGGAGGGAGTCCTCAGCAAACTACTAGGACACACCGATGTTGCCGTCTATGGAGTGTCTGTGCCAGGCATGGATGAAATGACTTATTTCATCGGCACATTTCAGGCAAATAAACAGACTCAAAAGCTGATGAATACTCTGTGTTTTATTGTGTTCAGGTGTGGAAGGGAAGGCCGGTATGGCAGCAATAGCTCAGGAGGGAAACCAGTTGGACCTTGATGCATTCTTGATCGGTGTACAAAGAGCTTTGCCCTCCTACGCACGCCCTGTCTTCCTTCGTTTCATGCCGTCTGTTGACACTACAGGTGAACATCAGTGAAAAAACATTCAAACGGCAATGTGATTTTATAAAATTACATAAAAACTATATATTTTTTTTTATATCTTGTTCACAGGTACTTTCAAAATTCAGAAGACACGGCTGCAGAAGGAAGGATACAAGCCACAAAACTCGAGTGAAAAGATTTATTTTCTGAACAGTCGTGCTGGACATTATCAGCCGGTCACTGATGAATTGTATGATGCCATCAATGAAGGGAAAGTGTCTCTTTGAAAGAAGGAGCTAACAAGGCTACTGGGTTAACACAACTTACTCTGACTGTGTTTTTGATATAGTTATTTTGTGTTTGTTGTTTTTTAAAGATGAACATTAAGCTCATCTACCTGAATAGATTTGGCTTGGTCAGATTTCTCTGAGGCATTATATATGTATATACATATATGAACAATGTGTGAATTTCCCATCATAATAAATACGATTTTTTTTGTATTTCTAGTAATAAAACATGTTCTTTCTTACAAGAAAAAGAATGAAAACTCAGTAATTTATGGAAATTAAGTAATAACTATATCAAATAACTATTATTTGAAAATTCATTTTTTAACATGACCAATACTCCACAGGTGCCTAAAGACTTGTTTCAAACAGAGCAGCACAGAAAGACTCAGGACAGCACCGCACGGCAAATTGATTTACCATCTTGTGAATGCCTGTGCCAGCCAGTCCCGGTGCAAGTTACATTTTATCCTTCTAAGCATTTTTCTCAAGTTATCATGTGTCAAAATTAGTAGCCTTGAATCACGGCACAAAATATGTGGGTTCTTTTTGTGAAAGCAAAGTGACTTTTAACTTTCATCACCTAATAC